GCCTCACTTTCTTGAAAGATTTCAATTTTTATTCCATCAATTCCTGGTGCCTTGTTCTTTGCCAATTCCTTCAATTCACCTTAGACTTCCTCCTTCAGTATCGTTGGCTCTTGATCATATGCTACCTCTTGAAACAGCTGAACATTAACCATTTCCTTTTGGTACAGTGACTCTGTGTATTCCTTCCATTTTCTCTTGATGCTTTCTGCATCATTCAATAATTTGCCCAGAGAATCTTTCAATAACAAAAGTCGAGGCTTGAATTTTTTCTTTAGTTCCCCCAGCTTGAGAAATGCTGAGCGTGTTCTTCCTTTTTGGTTTTCTGATTCCAGATCTTTGGACATTTTGTTGTAATATTTGCTTGATCTTCTTGAGCTGATCTTTGAAATTTTCTGTTCAGCTCTTGGACGGCCTCATTTCTTCCATTTGCTTTAGCATCTCTACACTGGACAGCAAGTTTCAGTGTCTCTTCTGACATCCATTTTGACCTTTTCCTTCTTTCTTGTCTTCTCAATGACTTTTTGCTTTCTTCCTGTGTGATGTTCTTGATGTCATCCGACAAGTCTTCTGGTCTTCGGTCTTTAGTGTTTAATGTATCTAATCTGTTCCACCAGTAGGGCTCCTTAAAGTCAAAGAACACAGTGTCATGAATGGAAAAGGAACAGATAAGTCTGTTATGGAAAAGGAGTAGAATGGCACGGAGGTCATGGGGGTGGAAAATCCCAGCTGAGCATTTATTGTCTGGTTCACAAAAAGACAATATAATTAGTTTCTTCTTGCTCTTTATGATGGGTTCTTTTACTATCAGGAATATGTTTTATGAATCATTACCATATCGATTCAAATGGCACAAGAATCAAGATACCTAATCACTCCAAAACTGTTGGTCCAATATTACCCATGACTTACCATCAAGGACTAAAATTCTCCTGGCACTCATCAGTCCTTATCAAGACTTAGTGTCCACTGAACATTCAGTTTACTTACCACTTGTAGCTGCACCCCGCTGTAAAATGTAACTGAATTGTTGTTACCTCTTGTTGTCACTCTTGTTGCTCAGAGTATTATACTTGTTGAAAATTAATAGTGCAAAACAGCAAAGTCTGGAATAATCCAATAGACAGCTTACCCGTATCTGAAGTAGGTACTAAACTGTCTGCAGAGGCGGTGTGCAAGCTCTCGTTTCCCACAAGCTTGAGGACCAGCCAGTATCAGCATGGGATAGGGAGCATCCAGACTTGGCAGGGTGCTACAACAGAGGACAAGAGTCCACCGGTGAGTTACGTGCAGCCAGGCACACAGGGTCTAAACTACATCCAATCTGTAAAGTTCTAGGCCTCATTCAGAATGTTGTTGCTGAGAGCTGTCAAGTCGGTTCTGACTCGCAGCAACCTTGTGTAGGGTTTCCAAGGAGTGACTGGTGAGCTTGAACCACTGACCTTGTGGTCCCGTCCAGCACAGTGCCACAGCAGGACTCACATTCAGAAGGAGTGTAGCTAAATCATCACTTGCTAATTGTAGACACAGCACAGAGGGATCTGGTCTTACTTTTTAAAACCAACTTGATTATAATAAGACACAGATAACATACGAAGCATTTCATTGTTATTGAGTCAACTGCAACTCTAGCACCCCTATAGAACACAGTAGAATTACCCCCATAGGGTCTCCAACGCTGTGATCTTTATGGATAACCTCCACAGGGTCACTATGGGTTGGAACTTAACAACAACAAATCTTTATCAAAGCAAACTACCACATCTTTCTCTCCTGGAACACCTGCTGGGATCAAACCATAAACTTGTAGGTCAGCAGCCCAGTGCTTAATCACTGCGCCACAAGGCTCCTCATTCATAGCATGACAAGATTGGAGCATATGTAAATTTAAACATTTACATATGCAAATTTAAAATACTTTTTAAAAGAAAAATTATGGTACAATATACTCGTTCTTGATAGGTGCCAAGAACTTGAAAAATGAAAGAAGACAGACTATGTTTGAGAGGAAAGATTTATTGTCCCACTTAGTGGATGAAAACACACATAGGCAAACTTTACAGTCATTTCTACAATTCACCTGAGCAATTACTATATGCCAGGCATTGTTTAGGAGTTTGACTTATATGACCTCATTTAATTACCACCAGAAACTTATGAAGATACCGCTACAGTTACCCCATTGAGCTATAAGAAGAAGAGGAAGTGTATAATTGACATGTTTAAAGGCCTGGCTAGAAGTAACAGCTGATGTGGTCACTGGGCATAGTTCTCCAGGCCTGCAACACTCATCTCAAGAATGAAGGAAGCCCAAAGCCACTGCCAGCAAGTCAATTCCAACTTATGACTGCCCTGTATAGGCTTTCTGAGGTTGTAAATCACAGGGGGGACCTTTTTTCTGCTAAAATGTCTAACATCATTCTCAGGCCATACAACATTATCAACTTCAAAATTAGCCTGGTAGATATGGTCATACATTTAATTATCTCACCCCTAATTGATGCTTGGGACTCCTGGGGTGGCGCTGTGGGCTAATGCATCAGACTGCAAAGTCAGTTTCAACCACAAGATCGGAGGTTCAAGGTCACCGGCTGCTCCTCAGACACCTTATACAGGATTGTGATGGGTCAGAACCAACTCAACGGCACTTAATAACAACAATGCGATGGTTGGAACTGCAGTTGCCTTGGTAGAGCCAGACCAGATGATTTTGAGGGCCTTATACAGCCCACCACCCTTGCTGTAAATCTTTATGGGAGCAAAAAGCTTTATCTTTCTCCCTCAGAGTAGTTGACAGACTCTTACTGCTGAACGTGTGGCTCACAGTTGAGTGCTTATCCTACACAGGCACCCCGCTCCTCTCCTTTGGAAGAGATGAATGAAATGTCCTGCAACATGCTGAGCTGCAGGATGTGTCTGGATCCACTCATAATAAACACTACGGTGTTGTTAAGTATTGTCGAGTCAGTTCCGACTCTTAGCAACCCTGTACAGGGTTTCCAAGGCCTGACTGACAGGTTTGAACCACCGACCTCGTGGTTGGCCTTCCAGTGCTTATCTTACAGTGCCACACCAGGTCTCCAATAAAAGTTATGTTGTTGTTAAGTGCTATCAAGTCAGTTCCGACTCACAGCAACCCTCTGTAGGGTTTCCAAGGAGCAGTTAGTGGGTTTGAACTGCTGACCTTGTGGTTCACAGTCTAGTGTTAATCCTACGGTGAGCACCACACCAAGACTCCGGTAAGAGCTGTAGGAATGCAGAACAAAATGTAATGTTTTCTAAAAATATGTGCAAGATGTGGATTCTCTTCAGGCATGGAGAATACCAGCATCGTTTTTCAGCCTCTCTGAATATCCACAGAAAGACAAAAGGCACAAGCAAAAAACCACGGAAAACATGTACAGTAACAAAGACAGCTGAGTAAGTACCTCCAGGAACCATAACATACAAAAGGTGTGGACCTTAATACTGGCATGATACTGGCGTCTGAACAAGATGAAAAAGGAAGCAACATGACAGCAAACCACAGAAAAAAGGAACCCCAAAATAGCCAATGGATTTTCACTGAAATCAAAGCAGGCCGAAACTAGGAAGTGTTGTGCACCCTCCAGTACTGGCGTCCTGGTAGGGTGCTATAGGATAAGCACTAGACCTCAAGGTGGGTTTGAACCACAAGATCAGTGGTTCAAGCCCACCAGCATCTCCTCAGTAACAGTGTACAGGGCCCCTATGAGTCAGAACCTACTTGACAACACTTAACAATAACAACAATACTGGGTAAGTTCAAGAGGCCATTGGTCAGAAGGTTTGAATTCTCAAACTGAGCCACTAAATTTTGCTTCTCAAAACGGAGACCCATGCCCATGAGAAACAGATGAATTAGAATTGGGCAAAATGGCACCCACAAGACAACCAGAAGATGTAGATCAAAATGGGGGCATAAACAGGGGCAGCCAATTTAATAAATCAAGACAAGAGATTTTTTAACACTACACAGACTTAAGAAGAAAATTCTACAAGCCACTAAGAAAAGCCATATGCTCAAATTAGAAAAAAACTCAGAAATGAAATGGCAGAACTCAGGAAAGAATTGAAAATGCAAGGAAAAAATGATCCTTTCAGAAACCAAGATAAACCTAGAAGGAACATTAAGAGAGGCTAAAGACGACATATTATGCCTGAAGAGAATAAGGTTAAAAATGAATCCTACAGTGTCCTCGTTATCTTCAAAAGATTCATTCTAGGATGCCCTCTTCCCTCAACTGCAGATACCAAAATCCGGGAATGTTCAAGTCCCTTATATGAAATGGCATAGTATTTGCATATAACCTGCCACATTCTTCCATATACTTCACATTGTCTCTAGATTATTCATAACATCTAAATAACATGTAAACCCCCTGCCACTGCCTTCGAATCGATTTCGACTCAGAGTGACCCTGCAGAGGGTTTCTGGGACTGTAGGTATTTATGGGAGCAGACAGCCTCATGTTTCCTCTGAGGAGTGGTTGATGGATTTGAAGCCTCACCAGCTCTCCTTAATGGGATTGTTCCCTCTTAGCCTTTAAGGGATTGCTCTAACCACTTAATTGCTCCCCCACCCCACTCCCCAAACGTTTTCAATTGTGAGTTGGCTGAATCTGCAGATGTGGAACCCAGAGATATGGAGGGCTGACTATAATTTAAAAGAAGTGAAGACCCACTCATATGTGACCAGTGGTTTTGGAAAAGGTATGCAAGCAATTCAACCAATGACTCTGGAACAACTGGACATCCAGAGGCAAAAAAAAAAAGACCTCCACCTAAGTCTTGGAGTCCTGGTGTGGCGCTGTGGGCTAATGTGTCAGACTGCGAAGTCGTTTGAACTGCAAGGTCGGTGGTTCAAGATCACCAGCTGCTCCTTGGAAACCTTATGCAGGGTCGCTATGGGTCGGCATCAACTCAATGGTACTTAACAACAAGAACCTAAATCTTATCACACCAAACAACAAGGACACCATCAGTGACTCTGGGCCAGAGTCAAGCTTCTACCCAATTATTTAAAAACATTGTATGGTGGGGGCGAAAATCTGTATACACAGCAAAGGGGACCATTGCAACAAATTGTAGATGTGCAATTGAGTGACACCGTTGACATTCTTCAATTCACCTGACCATTCTAGCCTCACCATCCTTTCCAACTGTTTTACCACCAAAAACATCAATCAACTCAATGCCTGCTGAGCGTCTCACCTAACCTTTCGAGATGCTGGTCTCAACTCGACGCTACGTAGATCAACCTTGGCAAGTGTTCAACGCTCAAGCCACCCACCCTTTTGCAAATTCAGCTAAAGTTTTGCTTGCTTCCATGCAGACCTCCAGGGGAAAGTTTTGGCTTGAGGTCTAAGGCTTAAAGATCTCAGGGTAATTGTTTTGTGGGTTTGTCCAGCCTCAATGGCTCCAGGAGATTGGATTTCATTAAAAATTTGAAATACTGTTCTGTATTTACCTCTCTTTTGATCAAAATTCTCGAGTCTCTTAAATTAAAACATTTAATAGTAGTAGCTGCTACCATATTGTTTTAATATTAAGCCCTCTCCCTGATTATGCCAAGATTTCCCAGCAATGCAGCGTACAAGCCCTCAGGTATAGGAGTGAGGCGGTCTCTTTCTGAGTCTGGTATTTGGTGCCTCCAGAGAGCTCAGCGCTGCTCAGAGAGGAGACAGCAGAGCCAACACTAGCTCCTAATTCCATCTCGATGCATTCTCCACAGTGAACGCTCATCCTTCCCACAACATCACGGCAGTTTGCTCTTATCGACATTGTTGTTGTGAAGTGCCATTGAGTCGGTTCCCACTCAGAGTGACCCTGGATAGGGTTTCCGAGGAATGGCTAGTGTCTTTGAACTGCTGACCTTGAAGTCAAATGCTTATCCTACAGCACCACACTAGTATACCACTGTGTACGTGGCAGCCAGAAATGATCTAGAAATAACCTGTTTATCAAACACTGCTGCAAGTTTCTTCCATACATCTTTTTTATATAGACAGACCCTCAAGCATGAAGTCACTAGCAATATCATAAACTAGACACAAGATACAATGAAGACATCAATATCCTTCTTTTAAATCAAAAGGGTTAGTCCAGCTGTATGCAAATCTATGATAAATCACTTCACCTGGAGGGCTACCAACAAAAACTGTCAGTGTCTATGCTAGTGAATTATATGTAAAAATTACAGCCGGAGATGCAAAATGAAACATTTCCCTCTCCTTGGGAAACCAACCACACGAAGTGCAGGAGCCAACACGGCCTGGAGAAGCCATTTACTCCAAGAGATCTTACAAGTGTTTTTAAGACGCCTTTAGTTATTGATAGAATGTCTGCATTATACTTAGAGTATAAGGGGCCATCTGCTCTAACAGACTGTTTGAAAAAGAAATGGAGAAACCGTGGTAAATCTGTCTCTGAACTAAGAGGTGAGAGACTCTCTTCATGTGTTCCCCCAAGCTGGTTGATCCCTCACCGATGAGCTGATTGCAATGCGGTGCCAAAGAGATCTCAGGTCTCCTTTAGGCTAGCTGGGCTTCCCCCTAGGATCGCCCTAATGGTCTGAATTCATGGACTACTCCTTAGTAGGGGGGCCCAGAGCTCACTTACAGCTAAGGAAATAATGTATCATGGATATAAACCGTGACAATTCTCCATCCATCGGTTCTAGCCGATGACACACACACATTAACAAACTTTCTTTTTTTACTTTTACCCCACTATTGTACATCCCAGGCTAAGCATCATATGAAAGTAAATCCAAAAATACTGTTACTGGGGTTCTAGTTCATAATGCACAGCTTCATCCTAGCTAAAACGTGCTTAAACGTGTCTCTGTGATGAGTGGGTGGCTGGGGACAAGTCCTTTCAGTAATACACTTGTCTTAGTTTTGTCAGGGTGCCTTCAACACCTTCAACAGGTGCAGTCAACACAGTGGCTGCCGAGAAATCCACTGGGCCACTCAGATTCAAGGCAGAAAGGTTAGAGGTGATGGTGACTGCGTTTTGGGACCCTAAAGGGGGTCATCTTGATAGATTCTCTTTAAGAACACAGCACGCTCCCAGGGGCTCATTAGGAAGAAGTTATAAGAAAGTTGGACACTGCGCTGGTGGAAAAATTTCCATCATAACAATGGACCTGCCCATTCTTGGATGGTAGCAAGGGCTGTCTTACCAGAATTTCATTGGGAAACCTTACCCCAGCCACCCTACACCCTTCAGACTTTTTTGTTCCCCCAAATCAAAAACCATTTAAAAGGAACAAGAGTTGAGTTCCTGGGATGGCAAAGCTGCCATTTTGATGTGGTGTAAATCACAGAACACAGAATTCTGCAGTGAAGTGTTGTTGACAGCTCCAACTCACAGCGACCCTGTACAGGGTTCCTGAGAAGCAGCCGGTGGTTCTGAGCCACCAACCTTGCAGTTAGCAGTCCAGCGCTTATCCTATAGCACCATACCAGATGGAAATGTCACCTTCAGAAATGTATAGACCTAGTTGGAGGCTATATGAAGAAACACTGGCTTCACATTATGATTGTTCTTTGCTTAGTATAGGTTTCTGTGATTTGTGTAGCAGTCCTTCTTGACTTGCCTTTCACTGAAGGCACCCTAACAAGACTAAGGTGAGTATATTACTGAGAGAACTTATCTGCAGCCACACGTTCTTCAGAGATGTGTTTAACATGTTTTATCTGGAATAAAAGCTGTGCACGTATGAACTGAAACCCTGTTAGAAGGGACCACACAAAAGGGAGAAGACGCATCAACTCTTCATCTCTCATGGAAAACCCAACCCAAGTGAGCAGCTGGTTTAAGCACATGATAATCAGACCCTTAGGGGCACAGTGGCTCTGTGCAATAAGCACAAGACTGTGAACCACAAGATCTGCAGTTCGAGCCCGCCAGCCGCTCCAGGGGGGAAAAAAAATGAGACTTTCTGCTTCTGCAAAGATTTAAAGCCTCAGAAACCCATATAGGACCACTATGAGTTGGAACAGACTCAAAGGCACTTAACAACAACAATCAGACACTACAACCGACACAACCCAGTCTACCAGATGAAGACCTGGTTCCTTCTCTCAGAGAAGGTGAGAAAACATCACGTATAGGAAATGAGTGTGTCCCCGAGTGAACAGCTGGGGACAAGGATGAGCTTGCTCACTCTGAGTTCTGCCCCGGGGGAGCCCTAAGAAATACCTGTAGAAGATTCTCTGCGGCTGCATCATGCTGTTTACGACATGGGTCAGGTGGTCTTGAGCCGCAATCACTTCCGGGGGAGGGTCATACTTATTCACTGCTGATACCTTGTCCAGAATTAGAAGTGTTAAAAGGAAAAAAAAAAAGTTCAGTTTCTAGAAATAAAACAAGGTTCAGGTTTTCTGTAGTAAACTATTTCAAAGATGTAGGAGGGGTTTAGAAAAATGATTCAATACATGTCCAGGAACATCCAGGTTGTGCCTTTGGAAATGGAGAGACTGCTTCCTTATTTCTACTTCCTGGTTTGGGAGTCAGAAAGCACACGTCACCTCTAATGTCCGTGACCCCAAATCCAAACCAAACTCACCACCATCGCGTCAATTTCAACTCATAGCGGTTCTGTATAGGGTCTCCAAGCCTGTAAATCCTTCTGGGAGCAGACAACCTCTTCTTTCTCCCAAGGAGTGGCTGGTTGGGTTTGAACCACCAACCTTGTGATAAGTAGTCCACTATTGCTGTTGCTGCTGTTGTTAAGGGCCATTGAGTTTGTTCTGACTCATAGTGACCCTGAATAGGTTTCCAAGGAGCAGCTGGTGGATTTGAACTGCTGACCTTGCAGTTAAGCAGTCCAGTGTTTATCCTACAGCACCACACCAGGTCCACTATACTTTTAAAATACACTTCCAACTTTTAGAGACGAAAGAACACAATTCATAGCTCTAAATTTCAAGTAGTTGATACTCTGCCGTCTCACCAAGAACTAGTCTCATTATTTCTAAATTCTGCAAGAGTTTCTACCTCTTTTAGCACAGCTTTTTTCATTCAAGGGCCCGGTTCTCCGGTTCTTCCTTCATAACTCATTCTTTCATCTCCTTCTCATCCTTCTAAATGCATTATCCTCACCAGCCACACCTGGCTTCTCCATTTTTTTTTTTTTTCCTCTTTGCGAAGTGCTCAAGAAAAAGAGAAATCTAGTCAGTGCCACGGAGTGTGAGAATAATAAGAGACTTGCAACTCTATTTTTAAGCAAGATTTCAGAAAGGCGTTTATGAGATGGGATGTCTGCCTCTCTCCCTATTCATACCTGTTTTCATTCCTTCTCTCACATTTGCATCTCCTCATTAGAGGAGAGTTCAGTTGTCATCCGTCACAAAAGCAACCACCTCAGGGACTGGGGAAGGGATGCAGGTGCACTTCAGACCTGATGACCCTGGGACGTGGGGCCAGATGAATCGTTATTTTAAAGAGCAAAATTCAGGATTCAGAATATCTGAGTAGCAGCTTATTCAAGTTCCTTTGGATTGTATGATAAGATGACATTAGAGTACATTATATTATTATGTGTATTTTTTTAAGCGGCACCAAATCATACTCCCTCCAAATATGATGGATATCCAGATTAATCATTTGCTGCAAAGCTGCCAGCCCACAAAAATGGAGCATTGCTTGTGGTCCCCAACGCCAGCCTCTCCTTCATCAGAGGCGGAACCTTCATTCATTTGTAACGATGACTAGCAGATGGCGCAACTCAGAGACTCCAACACAAGGGCACATTCCCCAAATCCAGAATCAATTGTGTGTCCCACTTATTTATGGCATGGTCCTACAGCAGGCCAGAACGAATTCACACTCAAACACATGAAAAGATGGAACTCCATACCTTTTCTTCCACTGTAACCTTCTTGTGATCTAACTCTGTTAATCGCAGTAGCATGAAAATTACGAAGAACCAGTAATCCGATTTTTCCTATTGAAAATATCAGGAAGATGATTCTGTTACCTTTTTACCCCAAATAGACAAGCACCAGCAGCCTGTGGTCACAAGCTGAGGTCTCCCACCTGCTACCTCTGTGTTCCCACCCACAAGTCCTGTCTACCCCTCTGGTGGTGTTCATTCTCCAGTGGATGCAGGTTGGGCAGCTCTACCATCTCGTCCATGATCTGCAGTTCACTTGGGGGCATCACAAATGACCAAGCAGGGCAGTTACATCAAGACTCAACCCCCAGGTCCACACTTGCTGACAGTGATGTCAGATAGCTGTCAGGAACCAACATCCTTCTACCCAAGAACAAGTCACGTTAGGTGCTACTTTGCTCAACTCTTTCATTGTTTCCTAAGAGAGGATGAAGGGAAACTCACTACACTCATATTTCTTGATGTTCTTTATCGAAAGTACTTCTTGAGGAATGAGAAGTGGAATTTCAAATTCTCAGCAGAATCCAGACTTTCTAGAGTCATGGAGATAGAATGAACCCCCAAAAGCATTGCCCTGAAGTTATCTTTAATCCTTAAATCAAAACTCTCCCCAGAAGTCTTGATTGAACTAAAACATAGATTATCTTAGTTAAGTCTGTCTGTCTTGAGCATTAGGCTCTTTTAAAGATGAAGTCGGTGAGATCAAATTGACAAGAGCAACTCAGAAGGTTAGAGGAGAAGCTTAGGGGTCAGTGAATTTAAGTCCATGGTGGTGGGAATTTGGCAAAGAATAGCAATAATGTTTGTACGACTTTAAGAAGGTCATAAATCTCACCCTGTTGTTTACGTACAAACTGCCAAAATGGTCTATGGCTGTACCTGCTTTTACCAACATTTTTTAAAGAAAGGAAATGGAGCATATTAAACTTATAAATGAAAATGAAAAATGTACTTAAAGAATTTCAAGATTGTCCCCTCCCCCTGCCACCTGCTGTAAATAATGTCTCACCTGAATTGGATTCCTTAAAAGATTGAGGACTCGAAGGAGAGGTAGATTTTCAAGGTATTCTATTTCACGCAGCTCAGCAATCTGTTTAATCAAAGGGCCAAAATATTACCACCAAACTAAACTCACAAAGACAAACAAAAACACAACAGAAGCCAGTTTGGATGCTGTTTATTAGAAGAAGAAAAATTTGCTCTGTTGAACACTCAGCTTTTCAATGTGAATCCCCTAAAGCTTGGTAGGAACCAGATTCTTGCCCACACCGTCAATCAATGTGAATGTTCACAGCCATGTTTTCTTTCTTCCTGTCTACTGACTCTCTAGTCAGTTTACAGATCTTTATCATATCCATGTTTCTTTCCATTTCAATCCATACTTATTATTGCAAAAAGTTCAAAATTGATTTGTCATTGATATTCCCCCCCACCCAAAGTCTTCCTGTAAGCATGGTTAAAAGCCTTCCAGTAGCAGAATCAATGATAATTATTGAGTTTCCCAGCCGCAAAACACAACTAGAAGGTAAACTATTCCCCATCTTAAATCAAAAGGAGAACATGTGTACCATGTTCAAACAAGGCCACTTTCAAATATAGCTGCACATACTATCTGGTTACAATAATATTATCCTATTAAGCACTTTTTTTTTTTCCCCCCCCCCAATGGTGTATCATTCAGGAAGGTGGAAAAGCAAGCTTGGTTCATAGGGCTCAGTCAGAACTTGTGCATCATGAATTGATTTCCCCTCTGAAGCACTGTCCTTCTTGGGCTGAACATAAATGTTGAGATGTTCTCCTCAGTCACTGGGTTTCACCAATGAGGCCAGGCAGGCCATGTGCCCTGGTAGCTTTTTTTGGTAAGCGTAGAAGTTGCTACATTTACTCTTTTTTTTTAATCCCCTCCATGCATCATCATGTAGGTGCCCCCCGGTTATCAGCACATACATTTATTCTTAAGGACAATCTGACACGACCAGTATGTAGAAGCTGTGAACCAACTATTCCTACTTTAAGAAGTTTCTTCTACAGAGAACATACAATGTGCAAAAATGTAGATACAAGAATGGTCTGTCTAATGTCATTACGGACTGAATTGTGCTGACCAGAAATATGGGTTGATTTTCCTGGGCCTTGTACCTGTGGATGTGATCTTGTTTGGAAATAGCGTTTTCCTTTTGTCATTTTAATGAGGCCACACCTGCATAGGGTGGGTCCTAGTCCTAATCACGTCTGAGCTATAAAAAAAGTGGAATAGACACAGAGACGCATGTGGGGGAAAGACAGATGCCAAGGAATGCCAAGGATTTTACGGAGCTACCCCATGGATGGAGGTTCTCTCAGACCCATGCTCTGAATGAATATTTAGCTTCTGAACTGCAAGAATATAAACCCCTAATCCTCTTTGTTATAGTATCACTAGGTAACTAAAAAAAATGTTATTTGTAAAAGAAATCATTTCAAAATTCCTAAAAGCGCCATCGCTATGTGGTGAAATGAGTCAGGGTACCACCCCCAAAACAGAGACCGGTAGTAGCCATTTGTAAGGAATGAAGAGGAAGAATCTCTTTGACATGTTGTCAACACCATGAATAGAATGTTACGTTGTTGTTGTCATCGAGTCTGTTCGCATTCATAACGACCCTTTATAGGGTTTCTGAGGTTACATATCATTTTGGAGCAGAAAGTCTCATCTTTCTCCCATGGGGCGGCTGGTGGGCTTGAACCGCTGACCTTGTGGTTTGCAGCCTAGTGCTTATCCTAAAGTATAAGATGACTTATTTCCCAGATGCTGGCTGGCATCAGCTGGTCTTTCTGAAGTGAAATGAAAGAGTTCCTACTTCCCTTCCTATCTTTCTAAGAAGTAAGATGAGATGGGAAAACACAGTTTCATCCTAGTTCTGTGGAATACCCAGTTGTCCTGGATGGACCCTCTGTGGTGGCTGAAAATGTCATCAAGTCAATTCCAACTCATAGCAACCCCATGTGACTGGGTGGAACCGCCCCATAGGGTCTTCTTGGCTGCAATCTTTTCAGAAGAAGATCAACAAGTCTTTCTCCCATGGAGGGCTGGGTGGGCTCAAACCTCCAACCTCTTAACCGCTGCACTACCAGAGCTCCTTCCCCTAAAGATATCCGCATCCAAAACCCTAGATATAACCATATATGGCAAAAAGGATGACTATTACCTTACACAGTCAAAGATGTAATGCAATCACAAGTATCCTCTTCAGAGGAAGGCACAGAAGATGAGAAGAAGTGATGTGGCCACAAGCCAACGAATGCTGGCAGCCACCAGAGCTGGAAAAGGTAAAGAGCATACCTTCCCCTAGAATTTCTAGAGGGAGCATACCCCTTGATTTCAACCCAGTGGAATGGATTTTGGACTCTGGTCTCCAGAACTGTACATGAATACATTCTTGTACTTTCAGTCACCAAGTTTCTGGCACGTTCTATGAGACACTAACACACTAATGCTCCCTTTCCTATATGATCTTACCCAACTCCCATGCCTTTGTTCCCCAAATTCCATAAGCCCAAGGCTGTGTGCAGTGGACTTTCACATAAGGTATAGGCACAGCAGCACCCCAAACATCCTATAGTGAAATATTACCAGAAAGACTGTGTTCTTAAAGGAACTTCAGCCATCTGATGCCAAGAGTATCCTGACACCATTGATCCAGATTCCCGACCATCCTCTTTTCGAACCTCCTAGCATCTCTTCTCATCTGGCACCTCTCACTCCCAGAAGCCCTCCCAAGAGCCAGAGAAAGCAGTCTAGTTAACCAATTGTTTGCCATTTGCTTCCAGGGCATGTTCTTCCAAGTCTTGCCATCTATAAACTCTTCAAGAGTAAATATAAGTAAAGCATTAGGCATAATGTTTGCACTTAGTAAGTACTCTGTGTTAGTGATTCAAATTTAAATCAAACTTTTATGTTGTTGTTGTTGTTGTTGTTAGGTGCCATCAAATTGGTAGCATAAGCGACCTTATGCACAGCATAATGAAATACTGCCCGATCCTGGATCAACCTCACTATTGTTGTCATGCTTGAGCCCATTGATGCTTCCACTTTGTCAATCCGTCTCGTTGGGTGTCTTCCTATTTTTCTCTGACCCTCCACCTTACCAAACATTATATCCTTCTCCAGCGACTGGTCCCTCCTGACAATATGTCCGAAGTATGAGAAACAGACTTTGGCCGTCCTGGCCTCCAAGAAGCACTCTGGCTGTACTACTTCCAACACAGATCAGTTGGTTCTTTTGGCAGCCCATGGCACTTTCAATATTCTCCTCCAACACCATAATGCAAAAGCATCAATTCTTCTATGGTCTTCCTTATTCACTGTCCAGCTTTCACATGCATATGAGGTTATTGAAAATACCATGGCTTGGGTCAGGCACACCTTAGTCTTCAAGCTGACATCTTTGCTCTTCAACACTTTAAAAAGGTCATTGCCGATACAATGAAATGATATACTATAGGATGAATGTTCTCCCATGTAAACTATCACATAATTCACAATAAAACATAAAAAAAGTCATTGCCTAATGCGATATGTCATTTGATTTCTTGACTGCTGCTTCCATAAGAAGAATGAAGTCTTGACAACTTCAATCTTTTCTCCATTGATAAGAATGTTGTTTATTGGTCCAATGGTGAGGATGTTTGTTTTCTTTACATTGAGATGCAATCCATACTGAAGGTTGTGCTCATTGATTATGTGTGTGCAAAGCTGAGCTCTTGGATCTCAAAGGGACAGTGAGGTACACAGAGCTTGGATAAACTGTTTAAATGAATGTACTCTCTAGACCAAGTGGTCTGTTGAAGTCTTTTCCTAAAAAGAGCTTTAAAACTTTTCTTCACTGCTACATATATAAGGATTTGTGTGGTCATAAACAGAAAGAGATCTAGAACACTAATAAATCCACTAGGGAATGCTGAAACCAATTTCCTGGGTCCAAACCAGCCATTTTCAACTAACAGGTTTTTAAGTGGCACAAAATGGATTCACAAGATTACTGGACTACACAGCCTGTGATTGGGGTAAATATTGTTTCAAGAAATGTGGGGTTCTGTTTTTACATATGCTTGCATTTTTGTAATAAGTTGCTGCAATGAAAAATGTATTTCCCACTGCAAGTTATAGCCAAAAAAGTTTGAAAGCCCTTGCTGAGAAGGATGTTTTACTAAAACGTTAATGACACACATTGAGGTTTCAAGAGATTGCTACTTCTCTGAGATCAGAAGAACTAGATGGTGCCCAGCTACCACCAACAACCATTCAAATGCGGGACACAATAGCTGGTCCAAGACAGAATGGGAGGAAAATGCAGAATAAACCTCAAATTCCTAAAAAATTAACAGACTTGCTGAACTGGTAGCGACTAGAGAATCCTCTAAGACTATTGCCCTGAGATACCCTTTAAACTTGGACTAAACCCATTCTCTGGTAGCGTAGTGGTTACGAATCGGGCTGCGAACCTTAAGGTCAGCGGTTCGAAACTACCAGCTACTCCGCGGGAGAAAGATGAGGCTTTCTATTCCCGTAAAGATTTACACCCTCAGAAACCCTATACAGGGTCGCTATGGGTCGGAACCGACTCGATGGCACATAACAACAACAAACCCATTCCCAGCGATCACCTTTCAGCCAAATAAAAAACGGGCTCATAAAATAAACAGTATCACCGTGAGTCCTGAGCTTCCTTAAATAACCACCTACAGGAGACCAAACGGAGCCCTGGCAGTGTAGTGGGATACAGGTTGAGCTGCTATCCATCAGGTCAGCAGTTCTAGTTCACCAGGCACTCCATGGGAAAAGGATAAAGCTTTCTGCTCCCATAAAGATTGTCAGCCTTGGAAACCCCACACAGGGTCGCTATGACGACAGCCCCACCATATGAGACCAAATGGTCAAGATTTACCAGAAAGCAAAGATGAGATCGTAAGAGGCGGGAGGGGCACAAAGAAGCTAGCTTAATGGAAACCGAACAGCCAGAATGGAATGAATGAGAATGTTGATGAGTTATGACAAATGCAACCTATGGCACCGGAAGATGTGTACCTAATTTGCTGTGCAAACGTTCA